GGAAGGGAAAAAACAAATTGTTTAAATAGGAATACAGGTGGATCCATTGCAACAATGAAATGTACAAGACCGTTGTGTCAAAAAACGAACTTTACGACTTTGTGAGTGGGAGGGGTGGGGGGTCAGAGGGTGGAAGTGGGCAGGGTGGTGGGGGAGGGTGGAGATGGGAAGGGATGGGAAGGGGAAACAAAGGAGGAGGCAACAATGCTTGATAAGAAATGTACTCATTACCTTGCCCATGTCATTATAACCCCTCTGTATGGTATTTTCACAATTAAAAAAAAACAGCAACAAAGAAAATAAAACCTCTTGTGTCCACATCTTGAGGTTCATTTTGTTTAGCATCATCTTATATTGTCATACATGCACAGCTTTTGACCTTTCTACTTACTTTTAATGATTTTTTTTTTCTTTTAAGATGACGTTCGTTGTATTTGACTGCTCAATTTGAACAATAAACTTTTTTTCTCTTCAAATTGTTGCCTCCTCTCTGTCTCTTTCTCTGTCTCTCTGTCTCTGTCTCAGTTTCTGTCATCCCCCACTACCCCACCTAGCCCCACCCATCAATCTTAATTCAGACCTGTTAGCATAGTAGCACAGACATAACTGTGAGTGTGAATTGATTTACTCAGTGTCTGTTGTCTTTCTAGGACGTGTGGTAGTTCACACAAGGAGAGGTGATGGCTTCCCACCAGAATTGCCTAAGCCAGAAGTCGGACTATCAGAACTCATATGCCAAGTAAAGTAGAAATGACTTAGATTGCCAGACAGTGGTTTGGTGTGTTTGCTGACTGCATTCTTGATGCAATAGCTGCTTCTGGAGAATTTTACTGTAAGACTTTGATGAATAGCCAAGTTCCCGTGTGTTCCACTGTCTGGGTTTCAGCTTCCATCTTTCATGGATGGATTTGGGTGCAAATTAATGGGAACTAAGAGTATGAATAGGCAGGATGTGTACCCAAATATCACCAGTGAACAAACTCATTCTGCAGATAATGAAGAATATCCCTTCTCTATCTGGCCTAAATACACAATTTAGGAAATGATAGTGTATTCCTTTCTTTTTTCCCCAGTGTACAGAGTCCGATGATGCTTTTGAGACAAAGTAGCACATTCTGACACATCCTACCTTCCAGCTTTCCTACTCTAAACTGATGCAGACTACCAAAACCTCTCCACAGAATTACCCAATTTTCTATCTTCCCATCTTTTCATTATTCCTCTCATTTTCTCAATGTGTACTTTAGTTTTACCACCTTTTAGTTATTTGCTTTATTTAAATGGTATTTTATGGGAAAATAGGGATAAACTTAAGATTCAAAGAGTCACCATATAATAATAATAAATATATGTATAACAAATTGTTTTGCACAATGAATGGAAGGGGAAAAACAACCTATGGTAATGAGAATATATTGTGTGGCTAACGTTTTGAGATTTGTTTATGGGAAGACCTGTTGAATACACTAAAAACTATGAGAAATACATATATCATTGTTTTCAGAAAATACACTGCTACAATTTATTTACAAGGGTTATTATTCACCATGTTTAACCATGTGCAAATAATTTAAAACAACTTTGTTCTGAAGACAGCCCAAGAGAGATTTTATAAAAATAAAGCATGCCAGTGAAAGAACAGTTTACAAATCCAGCATAAATTTGACAGGAAGGAAAGAGACCAGTATTTATGATGACTACCAGCAAGGAAATAGTAACTTTGGTAACAGGTAGGCTGATTTAGACGGAGAGAAAGACATATGGAGTGAGGCAAATGAAAAGGAAGATGGTTTCTGTGTGAACTTTCTCATCATCCTCTGCCCCCTAAGAAGGATCAATTGGAGGAATCCTGGATATGAGGCAGAAAATATGAGTAACACGAATCTCAAGTCTCTAATCCTAGCTAACTCAGGAGTCTGAGATTTGAGATTGTGGTTCAAAGCTAGTCTGGGAAGGCAAGTCCATAAGGCTCTGGTCTCCAATTAACTACCAAAAATGCTGGAAATGGAGCTGTAGCTCAAATGGTAAAAGACTAGTGTTTCCCTTTTTATTTAAGAAATAAAAGCCCAGAGATAGTGCGCTGAGTTCAAGTCCCATGACACACACACACACACACACACACACACCAAAACAACAACAGAAAAATGTGTACACTGTTATAACCAATGATTTTTTAAAAAGTGTGAAAAACTGAAATGCTAGGTACTGTGTCATGAAAATATCCCCTAAAGATTTAAAGTTGGAGCTGAACACTGGTAGCTGGCACCTTTAATACTAGCTACTCAGAAGGCTGAGATCTGAGGATCACAGTTCAAAGCCAGCCCGGGCAGGAAATTCTGTGATACTCTCTCCAATAAACCATTAGAAAACTGGAAGTGTTGCTGTGGCTCAAGTGGTAGAGCGCTCGCCTTGAGCTGAAGATCATAGGGAAAGCACCCAGGCCCAGAATTCAAGCCTCATGACTGACAAAAAAAAAATGTCTAAGTAAAATCCCCTCTAGGAATAGAGGTTGTCATCTTGCGTAGCCATAGCAACCTAAAGTTTCTTGTTATTGACTTCTAGAGGCTTCAGTAGAGGGTCCTCTCTAGTTTATCATAAGTAAATTCAAGGAGGTTAGTTTGTTGAGAGACTCATTTGTATTATAGTATTCAGTAAAACTTTATTCCTTATATACTGAAGAATCGCAATATCCAACTAAAAGACACCACCAAGTCAACTCATGTTATTTCTAAATCTCATGGGGTTTATAAATCTACCTGTATATTGACAACTACCATGAAAGCTATCAGAAGCATTTTTCACATACACATGAATACATTTCCAAAGGTGAAAACTTGGGCAGATGTGATTAATAAATTATAACTTTTAAATGACAGATAATCTCAAATAGCCTTATACTATTACTGATTCACAGGAAGAAAAGATGTCTGGATGTATATATGTATTCTTTTTTTGTCTCAAGCTGTTCTCATATTTGAAATTTTTGCTGCTACTAAGGAAATTCCACTGGAGTCATCCCTTCAGCGTGATGTTAGAAATAATGTACCAGATAATTTTAATGGCAGTTCTCAGAGTGGAAGTGGAATTGCATTTCCTACTAACCACATTCCTTAAAGCATCTTTTGGAGAGAGGGAAACATTTTAGGGATCTGAGAGGTAAAGAGAGTAAACATTTTCAAGTAGTTTAAATCTTGACCAAACTTCAAGCAGAGCCATTTAGGCTCTGTATTTAGACTATGTTTCAGAAAGTGTCTTTCACCAGGTAATACACACTGTATTTCAGTTGAGAATTGAAAATCATATCATTTATGGTTATGGAACTAATTTAATTGATCTAAAAATGTGTTTTCACTATTTTGTTATTTATTCACTTATCTATTTTTTTCTTTTTTTTCTCTTCACCATGTTCTCTTAGATGAATGATTCTTTATGCCTTTCCTTCTGTTTTACTTTTTGTCAAAATGTTTCTTATAATTACATGTTGAATGTGGTTGAATGAACCATTTTAGTCAAAGTTTTTTTTTTTAATTTTTAATGCTTACCCTAGAGCAGATTACAGACCTTTATAAAGGCCTAAGCACTGTCCCTGAGCGTTTTCACACCTACCACTTTGAGTCACAGCTCCACTTCTGCTTGGTCAGCGGTTAATTAGAGATAAGAACATTATGGACTTTCCTGCTCCAGCTGGCTTTCAGACCACAATTCTCAGAGTAGGTAGGATTACAGGCCTGAGCCACCAGCATAATGCCTTTCATAACAAGAACTGATTAAAAATGCATATATATGCATATATGTACATACATTAATTTCTTATGTAATGCTGACCTGAAAAAGTAAGACAAATGAAAAAGCACTAAGTATGCTATTCTCTTGTGCTGTTCATCTATTTCCAAGTCTAATAACACAGTCATAATAGATATCTAAGTCATCATTTTGCTTCCCACTGGGAAGGGATCCAGCTCCCATTCTTCTCAGACACCTTGCTTAGCTATTTAAATATCTAAGTGGGTAGCAAATACAGAGTCAGTAAATTCATGATTTATGAATAAATAATATCTTAAAATTAACCATTGAAGATCTAAATTAGGTCTTACCTAGTTTTGTTTCTTCAGATGGAGGATAAGTTTTTGAATTGCTACTTGAGAATCCATCGGTGGAGACCTCTAATATTCATTGATCTGTTAACTTAAGGGATAGAAGGTACAAAGGTGAGATCCAAAGTTTATTTTTGGGAGGGATTGGCCATTATAGCCTTTGACTCAGGCACTCAAGAAAAAGGGAATTTTCCATTCAGATAATTTAGCAATATCAGCCTCATCAGCTGCTAAATTTTCAGCATTCCCTTCTGTTGACCAGCTGCTCATATGATTAATTTTGATATTTTGATTTTTCTCATAATGTACATTGTATTTGGCTACATTCAAAAAATATATTGCAACTTCATAAAGAAAACATCTTTCAATAAGCAGCAAGGCTAAATTTTACAAAAATCCTGAGCCAGGAAATATCATTTATGATTAAGTTCCTTCCAGTTAAATCATTCCTCTGTTTTACTGCCCAATAAATACAACTGCAATCTCTGACAGGCCTTAGCCCCACCCAGCTGAATTCTTTTATACAAAAATATGAATGAGTGTTGCTAGCATCCACTTGCTAAAAGCGTCTATCTCTGAGCAGCCTTGTCTCTGTGTTCACTTAGCCCCTTTTAGTTTGCATTCAGCTTCTCTGAGATGAGATGAGTACTGCAATTATTTGACAGCACAAGATATCTTCAAGGAAAAGAATTCTAAAAATCCATCCATCCTGTTGATGTTGCTTGTCCAGGAAAGGCATGAATACAGAAACTTGTGGATATTTTTTTCCAGGAGAAAGTAATTACTGAAAAGCCTTTGTTACTATTGATTATAATAGTGACATTTTCCCCCATTTCTTATGGGTTTTTTTTTTTGAGGTATCAATAGTGTGAACTTTGCTATCCAAACTTCTTTGAGGAATTTGCAATGTCAGCTCTGAAATTTGAACTGGATAATCTTTCACCTAAATTCTGCAGACATGAGCAGGCTTCCCACTCTGACCTGATTTTAACCTGCTTGACTGAACTCTCCAGTGATTCTAGTCAATTGGAACTTCAGCACTCCATTTCTGACCCCAGGGGTAAGCTAACTTTAGCTTGACTATCTTACGTATATGTTAAAATAGGTGCTAATATCACATATTTGTGGAGGAAGAGCTAAAGCTAATTTTTGTTTTTTAAATTGTTTTTTCTAAAATGCATAGATAGATCTTGCATGAAAGCAGAGGTAGAAGGTTTGTTTACAAAGTGAAATGTCAGAAGAAAAATGTAATAAATGTAGAAAAATGTTGATAATGAAACATTTTTTTCTGGATACTCAGACTATTATGTTTTTTTATTGATGAGATTCAAGGGTTCTTATCTTTAATTATACAGAACAAGTCTTGACCTCTTTCATTAACCTCTCTCTCTCTCTCTCTCTCTATATATATATATACATTAGATTTATGAATACATATTTCCTTATATTTACATATCATATACCATATCTAATATTCTCATTTCAAATAAGTGATTGTTAAAACTTTAGGTTCTATGTGAGTTATGACTATTGACAGAATTCAGTATGAAGTCTTTTTTCATATATATAGAATTAGTTGATCAGAATTTTAGATTTTTCATTCTTACTCTTGAAATCATCAAAAAATTTTCAGAATTTGAAATAAAATACTCTGAGTAATAAAAGAGATGCCAAATATTAATGCTACTTTCTAGAAAACTTTTATATGTTAGATAAAATTTTAAAAGTAGCTCAAAACTGCATTATGACTTTTTTTCTTTCCTTACAAAAGGAGTGTACAATAAATGTTAGGAATTCATAACCAGATCATTATCCGAAGCACTATAGAACACTTCTTTATGATGTGCAATATGAAAAAAGGCTTATGTGAGCACTAGCACTCACTGACTGCATTTTTCTAGATTTTTAAAATTATGAGTCCTCTTATAATAGAGTCTGTTCTGAGATAAAAATAGACAATATCTTTTAATAACTTTTTTTCAACTGTAACAAAACAAAACGCTGTGCCACTATTTTTTTTCTCCTTTCATGGGCATATTACTGAATACTGGTCCTACTATTTCACTAATGTAGGGAAATAAAGTCTATAAATCTGTAGAGCTTTGTAAAATAGAAATAAAATTATTCATAAACAAAATGTTCGGCGATTTAACCATAGTTTATTATTCATGCATGTTTTACTGTTTCCATGTGTGTGTGTATGTGTTCTAATTACCTCCTTCAGAGATAATTCTTCTTCCGTTCCATTAAATTAATCTGTAGACCTATATGTATGTAGTGTCAGAGAATCTCTTTCTAAGAACTGCCTTTTACAAAGAGCCCAGAAAACATGATGTATCTGTCATGTTGACAGTGCCTCAGATTTCACACCTCTCACCAGAAGTCTACAGATTGCACTGCTGCTTACTTCTGTTTGCATTCTGACTTTTGTCTATGACCCAGAGGTTATCTTGAGAATTAGCATTAATTGTAATCAAGCATGTGTGTTTATTTGTGTTTATACTAGTTTCATATTTATCTGCCCACTTTATGCATATTGTTAAATCCAGTATCCAGTTGGCTGCCTGATAATAAAAAGTTCTTTAAAATATTTTTGAATCAGTAATTGTGTGGTTGAGGACTGAAAAACTGATTCTCTTTGCTCCCCATAATGCAAATACCTCTATAACCTTGTTTTTCTTTATAAATGACCTCATTTTCATCAAGTTTTCTGTAATGTGCCTCCTGTTTATTGAGAGCCAGAAGGTTTTTCTTGAGGAACTTCTTTGACCTGTGCCCACAATTCTTCATTATTTCTATAACTCTATGTAACCTGTGATAAAGGTTGAATGCTAAGATCTAAACTCTTGTTTTTTTTTCCAAAACTTTTCCAGCCTTATATAGCTTACACATCTACAAAAGTAAGTTATGCTTTTCAAATATTATTCTTATTATTCTCTTAAGGTAATTTCCATGCCTCTTGTCTTCGTACTACTTTTCAGATTGCACTATGACCAAATATTTGGTTATCTTCCCACATGCTTCTAGGGACCATTTACTGAATGATTTTTCATTCATGTTAAACATCTATGAAGTTCTCATCTTATAAATGAAAGTCTTTACAATTCAATGTTTATTAAAACTATATTTCTCCCCAATTCAACTTTTTCTTGAGAACAGGTGCTTTTTGCCAATTATTTGTCACTTTAACATGATATATATTTAGCAGGTACTTGAATGAGTTTTCTGACTCTCAGAAGATGTTTTAAGCAAATGTATACATGTATTTTGTTTTCAACATAATATGGAAAAATTATCACACCATTTCTTATCTGTGTATGTGTATATGGCAGTTAATAAATTGTAAAATTTATCCTTTATTGGATACTTCTTTATTCAATACTTCTATATTCACTCATTGAAGATTCACTGTTTCACATTTTAATTTTGATGATCCCTCAGCTATCGCAAGAGTTACATTCTAGAGACCCCCATGAAGTAGCAATGAGTGAACCACAAAATAGGGAAGGACAACTATCTACCACTTACTTCTACTATATATGTGTGTGTGTGTGTGTGTGTGTGTGATGGTGGTGGTGTGTGTATTAGTCTGGAAATCAGTGCATGCTATGTTTATATGTAAATGAAAATAACCACTGTGAGAGAGGAAGAAATCTTCCCTTTTAACAACATGGCATATCTTAACCAGTTAACAATATGACATTATGTTTTAACACAACTCTACACTTTGTCTTCCATAGTATGTAGGGTAAGTACTGTTATAAAATTTTTTTCAGTAAAATTGAAGCCTCCTTACTTCAAAAAGAATATTTATGGCTTTCATTTTTATAATATCTGACAGATTATTCACCTATGCCCAAGATCAAAATTTTAAAAATATGTCTCCAAGATTCCATTCAATAAAAGAAGAGCCTGAAATTCAGAGAAGTTAAAAAATGTGGAAAATTTCATACATGGATGGATAGATAGATAGATAAGCATATGCAGGCTGTGTTTGTCTGGCAGTAGAGAAGTGTAAGAGCTCTTAATCATTTTTGTCTGTAGAGGAATTGTGTTTTCTATCAAAAGGACTTGGAAATTTGGTTTTAAAATATTCTCCACTGTATCCTACATACGTATTTTATCAGCAATCAGCAATAAGACTATTGATATCTTTGGATTCTAAAATGTTATTGAAATGAGTTCTCAGGTTATAGAGTCCATCATATTCGTTCTTCTGGTATTAGTGGATTTTGGGTGCAAAGAAGTACATATATAACAAAATACTGTATCTTACAGTATATGTATGGTTATATGTTATTCTTAAAACTATATGTATATATATATATATATATATATACATACACACTTACTTAATACTCATTAGTTCAGCCCTATTAAAAAGTAAGAATAGTGTCCATGTTAACATATGGAATACAACAGAGTAATTATTCCTACACCTCACAAGCAATAAGTCATACATCTTTTAAATCCACACAGTGCAATTTTGTTTCTTTTACTTGTTAAACTATTTATATTGTGATCCAGAAAGAAATATTAAATAATATTTGAATAAGCTGTGAGTTATTTCATTCTATAAATTAGTAATATAATTACATATAATAATCTGCTTTTTGAAAACCAATATGATAATGACAATATGTATGGAACAGTAGTTATCAGTTATTTACACAGAGTTGCAAAACTCCACGCATCTCAAATATAGTGTAATGATTTATTACCCACCTATTAATCATGAAAAATTTTTAACCTAAATATATCTTTAATTTCTGTAGTTTTCTTGTATTGGCTACACTTGGAATTTAGAGACCTCAAAACCATTCATATTGAGGTCACTAACGGGTAGCAAAGAAGATGTGCCCAGTCCTGTCTGAACCAAACCTTGGCAGAATTTTAACACACATCTTTTTCCTTCAGCACGTCCTTCAGCACGCATTTTGGGCACCTCTTATTCCTACAATAGCATGCTTCATGATCTATCTATCTAAAGTATTTGTCCTTGATGCTTCTGAATATTCTTGCTACACCTTTGGTAATTACCTTTGATCTTGTCTACCATTTTCATTTACTAATAGACTAGATGTAACTGGAATTTCATAATAGAGGCTTTGGATTCTTTTGGAATGTAAGTATCTGAGTATAGTTAGGTAATTATAACTGAAGTTAAAAAAAAGTGTGTTTGTTTCCAAAAAAAACAAACAAGGTAATTTTAATTATATTAAAACAAGCTGATGACTAGAAGAGTAGATATTTATACAAAATAAGTATTTCTTATATAAATTCTCATATAAGTAGTTAACAGTGATTATAAATATATAATGATACTTCAGAAAAATTCAAGGTCACACAATTTTTTGAAATTTACCTTTGCTTCTATTTTTGCTTCAATTAGTCATATAATTTGTAATGAGATAGACATTTAACCCAATGTGATGTATATGTTTTTTAGCTTATATTAAACTTTAAGAGGTTAAATGGTTAGTAATACTTGATTGAAACCTATACCTCAACTGTTTTTGAGGGTTTCACAATGTACTTGAAGTTATTTAAAATATAAACAATTAATTACACCTCTGCCGGTTTATGTGATTTAATCTAAATTTCTACAAAATTAATCTTTTTGTATAGAATATTTAACCCTCAATATTTTTAAAACTCTATAAAATATACTTTGAATACTTTATTGATAAAATAATTGGTGGACTCTAATAAAAAAGTCAAATAACAACAAATTGTTTTACCTTAATCAACTTCCTGAGTTACTTTCCCCACTTGTAATGTGCCTTGATTCAATTGATTTATCTTCAAATCTACAAGTAAGAATTAAAAATGTTTTCCCAAAATAATTAGATTTAGAGCATTCCTTATGTATACCTTAAGCCAGATAATTTTGGCTGTGATAACAACCTGCTTATGCTATAAAAATAATAATGTTTGCAAAGAACTTGCTTTATTTACATAGCTTTCTTTTTCACATTTGGGTTTTACAGAAAATTCCAATTGTTTGTGCCACTTTACTCTTTCAAGTACAACAGCCTTAGTTACTACTTTATCTATTGC